AGTTATGATACATTTCTGAATGTATTTTTACAATCTGAATATGCATATGTACAAAAAAATATATTTAAAACAAGTAAATTGTGTTTTATATTTACAGTGATGTTATGTTATTTTACCTTTGACATGTAAAATCACCGTCTACTTATGTAAATGTAATGATATTCTAGAAAGACTGTAAAATATACAGTAAGATACTTTGACATTACTATATTTGGAACAGTGTAATATTTCTTAAGCCACTAGTTGTTCAACAATACAACACTAAGTTTACCTGGCAGCTGCTGTGAGTGCTGCTGGGGCAGAAGAAAGAAACTCTCGTATTGATAAATTGTATAAAATATGATGAGTAACATTTAGAAAGAAACTATAAGAACAAATAGTTAAATAGCAGAATTTTTGACTGTGCAGTTAGTTCGAGCACATTTTCATGATGCTAGGATCCTCTTTACCTCCTGATCTTAGAGCAAAGGCTTCTCATGTCCCTCTCTTTTTTTGACCAGTTACTTCCCTTCTATATTTGCCCCCTGATCACCTGCATATTATTTCAAAATCTGAGAAAAATAAAGAGTATTTTGACTTCCTGTATCTTCCTACTGGTGTTTTTGTATTGATGTTTTTTTGCTTATTTAACACGTGTTCTCCTCCCATCACTGTCCTTTATCTTTTAAGGAGTACTTATAATACATATGGGTGGAACAGTGGTTAGCACAGTTGCCTCCTGGTACTCCAGCATCCACCCACAGTTCAAAGACATGCAGTTAGGTCATTGATAATTTGATCCACAATGGATTAAATTCGTGTTCCCTCAAAACTCTACACACAACACCCCATAATGGCAAAGTGAAAAAACTTTGCTTGAAATTCTTGCAAATATATTAAACATAAAAAACAAAAACATTATATGTTAAGTCTTTTTAAGTCGGAATCTGATTTTTCCCATTCCTCGTTGCAGAACCTGTCAAGCTTCATCAGGGTGGATGAGGAGTGTTGGTACACAGCTGTTTTCACATGTTCATTTGGGTTCAACTCTGGGGTCCGACCAGGGCACTCGAGGACATTCACAACATCAACCTGAACCCATTCCTTTGTTAAACTGGCCGTGTGCTTAGGGTCATTGTCATGTTGGAAGACTAACCTTCGACCCTTTCTGAGATCCAGAACACTTTGGAGTAGGTGGCTGTAGCTCAGGAGGTAGAGCAGGTCATCTGCTCTCCATTACATCCATCAGAGTATGAATGTGTATGAATGTTAGTTAGCATGTGCTCCAGGAGAGTAGAAAAGCGCTATATAAGAATCAGTCCATTTACCATCGTCGAGGATCTCTCTGTACATCGCTCCATTCATCTTTTCCTTGACCCTGACTGATCTCCCAGAGCCTGCTGCCAAAAAAAGGTTCAGATTCTGTTCAGTTCAGAAAATGTTGTATCTCGTGGTCTGAGAGGGGGGCTATCATGTCCCTTTTACTGGGTAGTGGCTTCTCCCTCCACTCTACTATGCAGGTCTGATTGGTGGAGTGCTGCAGAAATGGTTGTCCATCTGGAGGGTTCTCCTTTCTCCACAGAGCAATGCTGGAGTTCTGTTG